CCCCCGGACCCCACGCCCCGGGCGGCCGGCCGCGTTGGCCTTGCACGTACCTGGCTGGCCGGGCGTCTCCAGGGACAAAGGTGTCCTGGGATCAGAGCCGGGTCCTCCCGGCACGGTCCCGGCCGCGGAGGGCGCTACCCCCGGGGCACTCTCTCGGAACACCTAGGTTCCATTCCAACCTCCGGCGGCAGGACCGGCCTCCGGGGGTGCTCGGGGCTCTGAGGGCGAATGCCGGCGTGGAGAAGCAGGCCGGCTCCTTCCTCAGTGTGTGCGGAGAGGGCGAGCGCCCCTGGTGCGACGGGAGGGCTGCCTGCCTGGGAAAGGGCTCCCCCTCCGACCCCGGGCACAGAAAGATGGCTTTCTTCACCTCTTCTCCCCGAGCGCCCAGACGCTGACTTGAGAGTGGCCGCGTTTGGTTTGCCTCCGAGGCCTCGGGGACCGGCTATCGGAAGAGGACCGCAGGACTGAAGCGCTGCACGGGAGAAACGGCCAGGCTCTCGACAGCCGCTTGAACTTTCCCAGGGGCTGGCAAGCACTCCGGAGCCGAGTTCTGTTCGCATTTCTTCCTCAGCCTTCATTTCTCCACATACCGCCTGGACGAAGACCTGCCAAACGGGCCGAGGATGGCAGATTCCTTTTTGTGTGAATTCTCCATCCTTCGGGATTGAAGCACCGTAGAAAGACTCACAGCGGAAGTCGTCTTCCAATCCCACACTGCTTGGAAAGATAGCTTTTTGAAGGGGAGAGGGGAAGAGCACGTCAGGAGCAGAGGGTAGGGAAAGGAGGCGAGCTGGCGGTCCCCAAGCATGAACAAGATGGAGAACCTAAGGCTAGTGCACCGGTCCCTCCCGAGTGACAGTGGTACAGGGATCAAGAAAGTAACTCAACAGTTGGGCGAAGCGGTGCATGCTTTTAATCCAAGCACTTGGGAGGCAGAGAGTTCCAGGACAGCCTGGGCTACATAGTGAGACCCTGTTTCGGGGGTGGGTAGAAAGAAAGAAAATATCTCACATGGCTGAGATAACACAGGATTGCCAGCCCTGGCTACATACTCACACCCTATCTGAAAACCCAAAGAAGGAAGGGGCTGGAGAGATGGCTCAGCGGTTAAGAATTGGCACCGCTGGCTGGGCATGGTGGCGCACCCCTTTAATATCCCAGCACTCCGGAGGCAGAGCCAGGCGGACCTCTGTGAGTTCAAGGCCAGCCTGGGCTACAGAGTGAGTTCCTGGATAGGCGCCAACACTACACAGAGAAACCCTGTCTGAAAAACCAAAAAAGGGTTGGGGCTTTAGCTCTGGTAGAGCGCTTGCTAGGCCCTGGGTTTGGTCCTCAGCTCTGAAAAAAAAAAAAAGCTCTGGCACTGCTATTGCAGAGAACCTTAGTTTGAGTCCCAGCATCCATATGAGACAGGTCACAACCGCCTGTAACTCCAGCCACCTACATGTGCACACACAGACACATACTTAAAAATAAATCTGGCCGGGCGTTGGTGGCGCACGCCTTTAATCCCAGCACTCGGGAGGCAGAGGCAGGCGGATCTTTGTGAGTTCGAGGCCAGCC